TCATAGCAATTAATTTTAACAGGCAACAAAATTTACACCACAAAAGTAGAAATAACTGATGTGATCCATTTCATTGTTTACATTCCAAAGAGCAGTGTTTCCCCACAAGGATCATGCTAAATGGAGATAACAATGATATGGATGGAGCTATAGTGTATTATGCTAAGGGAAATAAGCCATTCAGAGAAACAAATACCCTATGATTTCACTCACATGTGGAATTTAAGAAACAGAACAAATGAACCAAGAGGAAAAAGAGAGAGATAAACCAAAAAACAGACTCTTAACAATAGAGAACAGATGGTTACCATAGGGGAGGTGAGCGGGGGGATGAGTGAAATAGATGAGGGGGATTAAGAGCACACTTATCATGATGAGCAATCAACATTGTATAGAATTGCTGAATCACTATAATGTACACCTGAAACTAACATAACACTGTATGTTAACTATACTGGAATTAAAAAAAAGATAAATGGAGACAAGTGCATTGCTTCAGAGATACATATAAGATCTTAATAAGTAACAAAGATTAGTAAATTATGTGATTCATTTATTGTAGAACATCAACACAGAGAAAAGGAAAGAGGCAGATTTGTTACAAAAACAGTAACAAACTTACTGCAGTGTAGAACTAAAAACTCTGCGCACAGAAGCCAGCAGTAACTCTGGTGAAACTTGAGCAAGCCTGTCCAACAATAACTTCAGTTGTTTTCTATATTCTACAAACATGGCTTCATCTTCACCCTAAGATATATTTTAAAATTCTTATTTTAAAATTTAAAAGACCTTAAAATTCATGTAAATGGTTAGTTTTCATATAGTTTTCTGCATTTCTCAAGTTAATATGTGCTTTTTTCATTGACATTTATTTACACAGAAAAACTTAATATGTTTAGTAGCCTTTCCTCTACTGCCCACAAATAAGCATTTATGAACACAGCCCTACATCTCAAAAAGCCTAGAGCCAGAAACAGTATAGGGAGGAGGTTAAGGACAAGAATCTAGAGCCAGAATGGGTTCACGTTGGGCTTTATGAAAACTTCACCACCTTATTCATACTCCTCGTTTCTTGTAATACCTTATGAATAAAGATTATATATAACAAGCCTGGCTCTTTGTAAGTGCATAATGCATTGGTTATCATCACCATTATCTTTTTACAGTCCAAAGTTTTTGAATGCCTCAGGTGGGCAACTGAACACTTAGCACGTTGCAAAACAGTATAAGCGATGCTTGAGTTGATAGAAAGCACCTGATGATCCTTGTGCTTGAGGGTAAACTGACTCACTGGCAACCCTGGACAAGACTTATAAATGGAACAAGTCCAGAGAGTTAAGTGACCCATTCCCACTCTTCCACAGACACTTATGATCTGAGGTCCACTGACCTGGCCTCAACTCATCACTCTTATTAAATACAGAGATATGATCACCAATGATACTGTCAATATTTTACAAAGTTCAATGCTACAAAGTGTTTTAAAAAGTGACAAAATACCAAAAAGGTATTTTTTGAAGGTATTATGAAGGCTTATGAAGTTTCTATTAATTTCACCTAAGGCTGAAGTCAATGATAAACAAGAGTGATTGTTAAAATACTTCTTTGTTTTAAAGGACTCTAAAATAATCAAAACTTAAAATGTTAACTTGAGGTAAGTAAATAATGAATTAAAACTGATTTCTCCCTAATGTAAAATTCTTACCTCATTTTCAAAGTTATATTCTTCATCGTAAGTCAGTTTTTTCATAACGGCCAACATGATTGCCTAAAATTAAGAATAAAATGTCTTTTGTCAGTTTCCTCTAACTTGATATACTTTGAAATTAAGCTGTATTTCAAGAGACAGACTGCAGATACAGATTCTGATATCGGTTTATAGGCAAAAAGAAGTCAATTACCTCTACATTAGCTTTTTGCTGATCTGAGAGCACTGGAAGCTGTTAAAAAGTAAGCAATAATTTATTAGTTTTCCTAAAGTTATACTCGCTTATCAAAATATTTTTATTTTCTAAGATTTTATGTATTTGACAGGGAGCACGAGCGGGGTAGGGGGTGGGAGGAGGAGAGGGAGAAGCAGACTCTCCGCTGAGCAGAGAGCCTGACAGAGGGCTCAATCCCGAGACCCCAGGATCATGACGTGAGCCCAAGGCAGACTCTTAACTATGTGAGCCACCTAGGCGCCCCTCAAAATATTTTTCTAATCAATGAAGATCTGTTATTTTATTTTATTTTTAAAGATTTTATTTATTTGACAGAGAGAGACACAGCGAGAGAGGGAACACAAGCAGGGGGAGTGGGAGAGGGAGAAGCAGGCTTCCCGCCAAGCA